TTTCCAGCAAGAAGGAGAGACAGAAAAAGAAAGCTCTTCCATCTGCCGGTAAACTCCCCAAATAGCAGTAATGCCTGGAACTGAGCCAATCTGAAGCCAAGAGCCAGGAGGCTCTCCTGGGTTTCCCACACGGGTCCAGCATCCCAAGGACTTGGGCCATCCTCTGTTGCCTTCCAGGCCATAAGCAGGGAACTGGATTGGAAGTGGAGTAACTGAGACACAAAATGGTGCCCATATGGAATGCTGGCATTGGAAGGTGGGGGATTAGCCTGTTGAGCCACAGTGCCAGCACCTCCAATAATTATGTATGAGGAAGTAGCCTATTATCTTTGTAGTGCCATAGGGAATTAGGGAGAAGCTGTCTTGAAGTGATGATCTGCACAGAGTTCAGCAATAAAGAACATCTATGTTATCTTACAGAATTAGAAAGAAAATGTTGGCTAAGAGACCAGCACAGAAGAAAATAAACAACATTTTCTGGATCTAAAAGTCAGAAACCATTGAGAATTCTTTGAGAAATCATGAAGGCTTTCAGCTATATTTGACTTGCTTGTTATTAATCAGCTTTTCCACTAAGAGTATTTTCCTGAAGTATCAGGGAGTGAAAAAGGTAGCAAATCCTAAAGAGAAATAAATCCTAAAGAGAAATAAAACCAGGCCTGGTGCGGTAGCCTACCGGCTGAAGTTCTTGCATTGCATGTGCCTGGGATCCCACATTGGTGTCAGTTCGTGTTCCGGCTGCCCTGATTTCCCTCCAGCTCCATGCTAGAGGCCTGGGAAAGCAGCAAAGCATCCCGATAGCGAGGGAGGCAACAATTGAAGCTCAGGGAATTGGGGGCTGGAACATACTCCAGGACACTAACTGTGACTCATTCAAGTTATTTAGTCAGCCAAATTCAGTCTGCCTTGCAGACCACAGCAGGAAAACAATCTGTGCTCCCAGCAGGAAACTGATAGAAATCAACTTCATGTGGAGTATTTTAAGAAATGTCATAGGCAACACAAAAAAATGATAACGATTTTGAAAAAAAAGAAAAAAGTTGGGCAGATACTGAAATAATGGCTCATACTGAAAGCAGCTAAATGTGAGGAAATTGTAAAGTTATGTAGGGATGAAATATACAAAGAACACTAAGACGTGGTAGGATATCAGAATAATAAGCATCTTATCCTAAGGACTTTGAATTTTATTCAGTTAATTCAAAGGAATCTTGGAAGCAAATGCTATTTCCTCATCACTGTGCTAAGAGGTGATTATAGAAGCATGAAGGAAGTGAGCCAGCCATGTTGTCGCCTAGACTCCTGTCTAGTCATTTGCCTTGATTAGTGTCGCAGTGCGTCCGCCTCCCCACAGACCTCTCACCTTTGAGTTCAGTGCCATGATTAAGAGGATATCCTATGCAGTTGCACAGCTTGGATTAAAAAACCTTGGTGAGATTTTCAGCATTTTATGTCAACCATGCCATTCAAAAATACAGCTGGTAAAATTCGTTTTCTCGTAACTTTGCAATTGCAATCAAGTCAGTTAGCCTAGGTAAAATTTAAACAACTCCAGCGAGTAAGGAATATGACATAAATGATGAGTTTATGTATTGTCCCTCTGCCTCCGTGGCCCAAATCCCTCCCACCTGTGCTCCAGGATTCTCTCATCTATTCTGTTTTCAGGCATGTTCAGTTTTGTTTTTAACATTCACACGTGCAGCCCTAAATAGATTGTTTCTATCCACACAGTTTCCTCATGGTAGCCTTCATGGTGGTTATCATTATAGAATTTTAAAAATATGCTCTATAGGCTAATCATCAAAGTTTTATTGGTGTCTGTGTGACAATAGTTTCAAAAGCTCTTTGTCATCTTCGTTATTCTTGATGTCCCCAGTAACTAGACTGAGCTCGCTTCCGTGTCTATAAAGTAGGAATGGCTGTGTTGCCTATCAACCTGAACTAGCAAAACAAATTTTTTTTCTTTTTTTTTTATTATATTTTTGACAATCTTTACATAGTTCATTAGGGTAAAAAGTTCAAGGGCTACAGGAAAGTGGGTAAGTATTATTTCTATATTGTTTCCTTCATGTTTAAAGGGGGGTCTTAAGGGAGAAGGCCCACCAAGTTTCCCACCCTCCCCAGGTCCCGGATGTAGGGTGTGCTCCAAGGTTCTTGCTCAAGTGGTTTTGATAATTCACCAGTTATGAATCGCTGCCAATCTAGCAAAATGAATTAAATTCATGAAATTATTATTATAATCTGAAACACTTTGTAAACTTAAATGCTATTAAAACGAACGTTCTTCCTGGCGGGCAGGTGGGCAGAACACACCAGAAACTTGTAGCTCATAACGTAGTCTAAAGACACACCTGGAATTGCCTGGTAACTTGTTAGCAAGAAAAAAAAAAAAATATCTCAGGCCTACCGCATATCTGTGAAATTTCTGTATTTTAACAAAAATCTCCAAGTGCTTTAATGCACATTGAAGTTTAATGAGCGTCATACATTTGAAAAGCTGCAAACACTTGCACTCTGTGACATTGATGTTCCAGATTTATCATGAGAAAATGATTAGACAAGTATGATACGTGTATAAACTACCTAGCAGCTTCAAATAGCAAAATCTTAGGAAAAAAAAAAAAACCCTGAATGTCCACTAATGGAAACTTGATGATGTGTGTGTGTTTGGCACAGAAGTACAGCAATATTTCCGCATTAATGATATCCGGAGGGGAATCAGACCATCTGCCTTTTACATACATGTCCCAAGTGTTTTTTTTTTTTTTTAAAGATTTTTATTTTTATTATTTTTTCATTGGAAAGGCGGATATACAGAGAGGAGAGACAGAGAGGAAGATCTTCCGTCCGATGATTCACTCCCCAAGTGAGCGCAACGGCCGATACTATGCCGATCCGAAGCCAGGAGCCTCTTCCGGGTCTCCCACGCAGGTGCAGGTTCCCAAAGCTTTGGGCCGTCCTCGACTGCTTTCCCGGGCCACAGGCAGGGAGCTGGAAGGGAAGCGGGGCTGCCGGGATTAGAACCGGCGCCCATATGGGATCCCGGGCGTGCTAGGCGAGGACTTAGCCACTTGCGCCACCGCGCCGGGCCCATCCCAAGTGTTTTTAAGTGTTCAAGTGTTTTACGTGCTTGTCCCTTAAAAAGTTTGCCAATACGTCCAGCTGTTTCATTTGCTCTATGTAATCAATTTCCACTGACATAAGTGGAAAAGAGATATTAAAGATATGTTTAGAGAATTCTCCCTGGGCCATTTACAAAATTTGTGTTCGTGAAGTGGCTTATTTGTTTATTTTAGCTGTGAAATGCGGGTAGCTCTTTTATTTCTTAGCCATCGAGGGTCACCTTGTTTAATCTGTTACTCTAACTGTACGGTGTTCTATTTGTCTATTTCACCCCGACCAAGTTCAGTTTGAGCATTTTGAGGGAAAACAGTATTTCCTGAGCAAATTCTCTAGCTTTGTACTTCGAGCTTCGTACGTCCGCTGCTTCTGAAATCCAGAGCCCCTTCTCTGCTTGATCTTCCTGCTATGACTCTCATCACCACGTGCGCTGCTTCTATTTTACCTCTTGATTGCCTCTCTCCACCCAAGGCAGGGTCTATAAAGCAGGAAACAGTGTCTTTCTTCCTGGTTGTATCCAGGGCACTTACTGTCCGACACCTAAAAAGTCATTGATAAATGTTTGCGGAATGCATTTAAGAAAAAACATTTTAGGATACTTAAAGGTTGGTTTGCTTGGGCTGGGAAACGAAATTCTTTACTGTCATAATGAAGGCTAGATTTCAAGATACACTCGGCTTTTATACATCCCACCCTCCCCACCTCCGGTTTAGTCTGCTAGTAAACATTAAAGCTGATAATGCTGACTGTAAGAATAAAGGAAATTATCCAGTTCTATATGTAGACAAAAGACAGAGAGTGCATGGGACTATCTCGGAAGTCCCGCCACGTTCATCCAAGGCAGAGTGCATCAAGCAGAAGCAGCAGGTCACACATAGGTCTGGGCAGAGTAAGCCATCTGAAAATGTGTGACAACCCCGAAGTCAACGAGTCGAGGAGAGCCGAACTGGAAGAATGAGACAACTGTGCTTGTTCACCTGGGCACGACAATACGCCATAAACAGAAACACGTCTTACATAGAAATCATTATTTGTTAAGTGCATGACTAAACTACCCATCAGTGGAATTCAAATAAGCATTAAAAATGTCGCTGTAAATGCAAAGTTATTGACACACTGGAAGGTGAAACCTCAAGTGAGAAATTAGAGCATGACCCCACTTTTGTCTATCTGCATACATACATAACTAGGAGGAAGGGAATACTAGACACCAGTGGTCGTTTGACTTTTCTCTGGGCAATGAAATTACAGGTATTTAAACTTCTTTATATTTATCCATATTTGTTCACGTATAAATGAGAATTTGCTGCATCCATTATAGGATGTGTTTTAAAACTATCTGCAGGTGGGCCCGGCGCAGTCGCCTAAAGTGCTCCCCTTGCATGTGCCCGGGATCTCATATGGACATCTGGTTGTGTCCCAGAGGCCCCGCTTCCCATCCAGCTCCCTGCTTGTGGCCCGGAAAAGCAGTTGAAGATGACCCAACTTTAGGGCCCTGTACCTGCATGGGAGACCCAGATGAGGCTCCTGGCTCCTGGCTTTAGATAGGCCAAGCTCCAGCCATTGCAGCCTCTTGGGGAGTGAATCAGCAGATAGAAGGTGTTCCTCTCTGTCTCTCCTCTCTGTGTATCTGCCTTTCAATAAAAATAACTAAATTTTAAAAGAGAAAACAAAATCTTAAAAAAAAAAAAAGAACCTATCTACAGGTGAAGACATTCCATCACTTCTCCTGATCTCAATACTTGAGCATCTTGTTTAATTTCTGCAATTCTAAACAAGTCCTTGGAGTTCCAGTTGCAAGAAAGCTGAGGGAGGAGTGAGAAGCTCCTCCCACTTCTCACAGCTTCCTCCAACTGTTAAAATGCTTCTGACTGCCTCTTGACACACACAACCAACAGACAACACCACCCAGTGGAAGGAGCAGTGCTAAAAGCCAAAATCAAAGGTAAGGATGGTAGCCAGGGAGCGGGGGAAAGGCTGGAAAGAAAAACTTGAGAATCCTAAGGAATCTAACTGCAGATTTGGCTCCCATCCTCGTGTTCTGTTACAGAGCAATCAGGCTTTGTCAAATGCGTTGCTTTTAAATGTTAAATTCAGACGTGGTACACAAGCTTTGCAGCAAAGTCCATCAGACAGCTCAGCTTTTTTTTTTTTAAGTGGAGGAGGAGGAGACTGGGATATGCCTAGGGAGGCATTTTATCAGCGAGTGTTGCTTATTACATTACCACTAATTACCTGACTACAACGTGAGGATTCTCTGGCCTTTGTTCAAGGTAAGCAGCATCGATCAATCGAACTCCTTGAAAAGAGACGATGACCAAAAGGGTGGCAGTGATTGGAGCTGGGGTCAGTGGCCTCATCTCCCTGAAGTGCTGTGTGGATGAGGGGCTGGAACCCACATGCTTTGAGAGGACTGAAGATATCGGAGGGCTCTGGAGGTTCAAAGTAAGTGAGATGTTCTTGTTCCTGATGGCTTTATCCTGCTGTTTCTGGGGGGGAGTGAAGCTGACCATAGACCTTACCGAGGGAATTCCTGAACAACTTTGATTGATTTTTTTTGGTAGCAGTTAAGAAGCTGAGGTGACAAGGTGGCATCTCTCCCCACCTGTTACAGGTGAGGTCTCAGACAAGTTCTTTCCAGCTCTCATCTCCGTTTCCTCAGTTGTACGTGGCAACAGGAAGAACACTGCACTTGTCCCAATGTGCTATTCAAAGATCAAGGGAGATACTGCATGTGGAGAATTTAGAATAGTTTCTGACTTACTCTAAAGTTTAGTAAACATTAGCTATTAATTTTAAGTACATAATGTATAGATTAGTAAGCAGAATGAGGAAAGATAGGGTGACCCAGGGTCATGTAGCTGGAGGAACTGGCACTCGAACCTATTGCCAATGACTCCTAAGCACTAAAAGCCAATTTTTCAAAAAGTGTCCCAACACTGCATTTTCTTTTAAACACGTTAAGCAGATGTTTAAGTTCAGAACTCAGGGACAGTGAATTTAGGATTAAATATCAGGTTTATCTAAATGAAGCACTAAAACACACGAGACCCTTCCAGAAAGTGACAAAAGGACTGAGTGCATGGAAAGCAGACTTGTATCAGCACAGACCCAGTGGTCTCTCCTACATTCTCCCACACTGGTGGCAAAGTTGAATAGCATAGGTGCTGCGCCAGTTCCAACCCAACCACAAACTTAATGGTGTTTTGTCGTTGCTTTTAAAGTATTAGCTTTCTCAAAGGCAAATGATCATAACACAAATCTGAAATCTTTTTTTTTTTTTTGCTTTGTTTTGTTTGTTTTGTTTTTTTTGATTCTGAATTCTGGGCGGTAGCCCAGACCTAAGTCTCAGAAGAATCTGATAATGATACAAGTTTGACAGACATCGCAGAAATACCAATCTTAAAAGAACCTGTTATTTCAAACTATTCAAACACATTCAAGTTGATGGGGAAGTTGATCCTTCCGAGGCAAGTAGCTTTACTTAAAGCAAAACTGGAAAAACAGCTTGAATCACATTCATTTCGTATTAATAACTGGCCATTAACACCATTATACGTTTACTTGAAAGGGTAATACAACCTGGTAGTAATTCTTGCTTTCATCAAAGATAGATTATTTCTGTCTGCCCATACACATTCCATTTGAGATTTGTCTCCAGGTAACCTCTTGCCTCCTTGAGGAAGAATTGTAGACATTACAACAAAATTCTATTTAATGATAATTTATCATTTTATTTAATTACTTGCTTTAGGATTTAATGTCTAGAAGCCAATGTTCTCTACTTGATATTCATTGATTTACTAACGTAGGAGGGGCAAGTTATTTTGAGTGGCCCGTCAGATTTCTGGGAAGGAATTTCTTGTCCCAAAAACACTTCCCTGGCACCAGTTACTTATTACCTAAAACTTCAGAATTAAAGACACTTTCCTAGGGTTTACAAAAGTTAGACTAAAATATGAATTCATTAGTACTTATTTGATAATAATGACTTATGTAAGCAACTCTCCAGAACCTGTAAAATGTTGCATTAAATCGAGGTAGTGAGGAAATAAAAGCAAATGTCTCCATTCCAAAAGTCACAGTCTCCCATCCCACCCCCAGCCCAGAGCGAAACATACACTACGCGACACTGTTTCCCAGTCTGTAGTTGGGACCACGTGGAGGGCTTGTTGCACCAGGGAGATAACCAAGAGCAGGTGTTGCACATCCCAAGGAATTATGCCTCTGGAAACTCTCCCATCTAGAATCAATTGATAAAATGAAATATTCTTTAACTTTTCTATTCACACATACTCCATCTGAGAGATGACTTCATACATTTAGTGATGAAAAATAAAAATACAATGAAAAACCCTATTTTTAATTTTTAATTTTATTTTAAAAAGATTTATTTATATATTGGAAAGGCAGATACACAGAGAGGAGAGACAGAAGGGTCTTTTATCCGATGGTTCATTCCCAAGCGACTGCAACGGGCCAGAGCTGCGCCCATCTGAAGCCAGGAGCCTGGAGCTTCCTACAGGTCACCCACGCAAGTGCAGGGTTCCAAGACTTTAGGGCTGACTTCCACTGCTTTTCCAGGCCACAAGCAGTTCCTATGTGCTCCAGTTCATGTTCTGGTTGTTCTGCTACCCATCCAGCTCCCTGCTTGTGGCCTGGGGAAGCAGTGGAGGATGGTCCAAAGCCTTGGGACCCTGCACCTGCACAGGAGACCCAAAAGAGACTCCTGGCTCTTGGCTTTGGATTGGCTCAGTTCTGGTCATTGAGGCAGCTTGGGGAATGAAGTAGCAGATGGAAGACCTTTCCCTGCCTCTCCTTCTCTCTGGAAATTTGACTTTGCCATAAAAATCAGTAAATATTAAACAACAAAAAAAGTAAAACATAAAAAAAAAACCGTACTCCCTTGTTCCAGCCACAATACTGAACTCTGCCCAAAGGTTCTCCAGCGCCCTCTAGTGGCAGTCAAGAGATGTGCGAATGGTGAATCATTTTACAGTATTCAGTACGTTTTTCTGCAAGGGGGACACCAGGTATGCTTGATTTTTCTTCACAATTTCCACCGAAAGGAGTTCTTGTGATCATTTTCATTAACAAATGACCAGGAGACGGGGATCTGGGTCAAATAACTTACTAGAGAAATATATGCAATAGAGAGGAATAGCAATGATGGTTGGATGGATTTCGGAAGCCTCGCGCTTTTACCTCTTAGTTACTGAAGAAAACGGGATTTTTCTTCAGCCATTGATCTCATCCATATTCCTTCTTATTTCACATGCCTTGTGTTTACAGGGAAGTTACCAATACGCATCATGTTTCTGAGTTTTTCTGGAGATGTGTGTGGGTGGGTAAGGCGTGCACATGTGTCTATATTTTTTCAGGGTGTATACTCCCAGTTAGTTTCATTTACCTTCACTTAACAGGTTCCAGATATCTCCTCATTTCACCTTCCTTCCTGTAGATCGAGCCTGAGTTATCGCTTTCTTTTAACATGCAACTCCCCTATGCTTGAGGAGTGAATCAGAGGACGGAAGATCTTCCTCTCTGTCTCTCTCTCCTCTCTGTATATGTGACTTGGCAATAAAAATAATTTTTTAAAAGGTAATATTTGATATGAATCTATTTGTCAAGCATTTGATATATACTTACATGTATCAAATCTAATATGTATGCTCAGTCTATATTAGTTCTTTTTATCCATGGGAAAATAAACCAGTTTTGTCCAATTGCATCTAAATACACAGACATCACCTAGACGTGGGAAGCAGCAGAGAGACAAAGCATCTTTTTAAATTTTGTTTTCCATTCAACCTAACATCAAGATTATCACTTCATCATTGGGGGAAAAAAAAATAACTGTGTCATCATTCTGTTGGTGAATGACCCACATAAAGCTTCCAAAGCAACATTTTTTCCCTGCTCTAAAATATAATACAGGAACTCAGATATCAGAACCCATTCTCTAATTTCTCAAAATCCTATTATAATTACCCTGGCACTGAAACTTGTCACATTTCAAGCTGATTTATTGAGTCTTAAAAAGCAAGCAAACAAATAAAAACCACCACCACCAACAGGAAGTAAAACCATTGGCTACTATAAATTATGGCAAGTTTAATGCTTTTAGCACTAGCAATGTTACAAGCAAAAAAAGAGGCAAACCTTGATCAAAGATGTGTTTTGGAGTGAGGCATTGTGTTGAGCACCATAATGTCATAAAGTCTTGTATTAGCTATTGGATATTAGAGTTATTAATGAGCTCCGTTTTACACAGGAAAACAAGGAAATTCACTTACGGAGTTTGTCCGTGATCACAAAGCCTTTAAAGGAAGTAGATTAGGAGACCAACCTAGACATGCTGACTCCAGAACCCTGCGTTTTCCCTCCCAAAGTTATCTGGTGTTAGGGAAATTAGTATTTGTGTGTGTGTGTGTGTGTGTGTGTTTCATGAACTACTTCCCCTGTTTAGAATTTGATTGTATAAAAATTTCAGATATTCAATCTTGCTAAGGAAATTGCATTTCATCACATGGAAGCATCTAGAAATAATTTAACGCATCCAATTAACTTTAGTGTTATGCAATTTGAAGTAGTAGTTGAAAATAAAAATACTATGATTTATTCATTCAGAGTTAAGATCATTATGCTTCTAGGTATTAGATAACCTTCAACTATATTATGGTACAAGCTTAACACATAACTTGAGTTAAAAGGAATTATCTCCCAAGTCTTGATTGTGAAACAAAATGTTAAACACACCGGTCCTGGAATAAGTCTATGTTAGCTAAGAGTGCATAAGTAATGGATTATGCGTACATCAGTCAACAATAATATAAAACAAGCAGAGAAAAGGAAGAATTATTTAGAAGAATTCTACATACATAGTCATCTTAAGTGATATGAACTAAGATCAAACAGCACTCTAGCTCCACTGATTTATGTTCAGATAAAAACTGAAATTAAGGGAAGAGAGAGAGGAAGAGAGAGAGAAAAAGAGAGAGAGAAAAAGAGAGAGAAAGAGAGAGAGACTCTAGTACACATGGAAAGCTTTTTTAAACAGCAAACCACAGTAAGATCTCCCTTCAAGGGAGGATGAAGGACAGCTTCTTGGACAGAGAACTCATGCATAGTGTTAAACGTCCTTTGCCGGTTCCTTTGATGTTGGTCTAAGCAGCTGTCCTGGATGCCCTTTTACTGTGTGCTGGACAGGGAGATGTAACTGACGTTGTCATTTTCTTCAATAACGGTAGTTATTACTACCAAGCAACCAGTGCCTCTCCATTTCTCGCACAGACAATTGGAACCAGAAATCTGACCTACGTATTACTCCTTCTACCAGTCTCATCATCTCTTAAAGTGTTACCTGAAATGTAAAGAGGTCTTCATTACTTATTTTATTTTTATTACTATTATTATTATTATTTTGATGATCTTCGCATAGTTAATTAGGGCACAAAGGACCAAGAGCTACAGGAAAGTGGGTAAGACCATTGTTTCCACATTCTTTTTTTTTTCTTTTTGTTGTATCTAGGGGAAGGGGAGAGATAAAGGGAGAAGCCCTACCCAGCCTCCCACCCATCCCAGGGTCCCCAATATGAGGCATGCTCTGAGCACACTGCTCAAGTGATTTTGATAGTTCAACAGTTCTGCCAGTCTCGCCATTCTAAGAACAATGAAATCTCTCCAGAATCAACTGGCTGACATTGTCCACCTTGGAGTCTCTGCCCAGGTTTTCACTTCCAACATGTAGGTGGGGTAGCTGATTGATTTGTTCTGTCCTCCATCCTCTGATGTGGTACCAGGTATCCTCTGCAGGCTCCAATTTACTGCCATATCCTCTGTATGCCCTTGGATGTGCTGTCCACTGCTCCACCTGAGCCTCCGAGAGGCTCAGCTCTGACACATGCACTCCACAGTCAGACCGTGCAACCTGCACTTCTCTTCATGGTTGGGGTTGAACTGGACTGTGGGATAGACTGTGGTGATATTTAAGTAAACAAGATAATGTATTTAAATTAATTCCTACACACTTTGCGCATCTTTACTCTGATGCTGAACCAAAATAGCAACACTACCCTTTACCTGTATTATGTCTCAAACACCGCCTCCTCAGAAGTGTTTATCAAAGAGTTCTTGGGTACAGTTATTTAAATCTTCCTGTTAAGATCTTGTTAATACTTCGATCCGAGGGCTGCTGATTCACACCTGATTCTTTTTATGGTTGAACATAAAGAATATTACGCAGAGAACTGCTTGCAGAAGAAAGTATGAACCAAATCCTAACACCGAGAGCTCGTATCTCACTGAAGCACACGCACCAACTTCTGAAATCAAGTCTAAGATTTGATTGTTATTAAATCATTTGAGGAAGCTTGCAAAAATCATAAAGGCAGACAAGTCCAAGTCACCACGTGAGCCCTCCCTGCTCCTACCCTTCACATAGAATTCTTAGATGACTTGTCCCATGTCTCAGGGATCACAGATTCCTAAGGAGGTACAGGCTATGTATATCCTACCCAGAGGGAATTGAGGAAGAAAACTGATTGTTGGAAAGATTTTCATTAGCAAGGTATAGGCCTGGCATGCTAATATCCTAAAGTTTGCCAAAGAAACTGTCTCCATCCCCCGTTTCACTCATGTCAGTAGCATCTTCAGTGAGCAACAATGGTAGTCAACAAACAGGTCGCAGTTCCCAGAATGGCACAGCTAATAAATTTCCCACCATCAAATTAACTCTTTGATCATGTACAACAATAAAAAAAGATGACACCACTCAAGCATTAGAATATATTTTTTTTTGCAGTAGAGACCTTGTAAATGCATGATGTTTGCTAACTTTTTTCTTTAGGAAAACGTGGAGGATGGCCGGGCAAGTATCTATCAGTCTGTCATCACCAACACCAGCAAGGAAATGTCCTGTTTCAGTGACTTTCCGATGCCTGAAGATTTTCCAAACTTCCTACACAATTCTAAACTTCTGGAATATTTCAGAATTTTTGCCAAAAAGTTTGATCTTCTCAAATATATTCAGTTTCAGGTATTGTAATTTGGGGGAAAAGGGGTTCTTTTCATTAATTCAGTTCACATTTAAATAGCAAAGATATTCTGACAATGAAAGAAGTTTTGAATAAAGCATCCCAGTGCAAATATTATTGGAGGAAATGGAGATGTCAGCTAAAAGGAGTGTCATTACCTCTACTTCTGTACATCTAGCAAAAGAGGAAACTCATTCATTAAAATTTTGAATGTTGATGATATTAATGGCAATATTATACGTAAACTAGTATTACAATCAATAACTCTAGTCTCATTGATCATGGAACGTTCCGTGAAGAAAATCAAGTTCCTGTTTTCTGAACCTCTCTATAAAAACGATTTTTCACCCAACTGCTGAAGTCATTAACATGCTTAATATTGTCCATTCATAACATGAGCAACTATTCATATTTATTTTTCTCTGGGTGCAAACTCCAGAAATACATATATGGTCACATTATTTTGAATGACCTTTTCCTGTGTTTCTTGGAAAGCAAATGATTAGCACCAAAACCAAAATCACAATATTCTTAGGGATGGGTGTTTGCTACAAGAACAAGGATGCGACCTGGGAGCTTTGTGTGTCCTACTGTAATAAGATGTTAACGACTGCTATTCGGTGGAGGGCTGACAGTGTGTGAGGCACTGTGCCAAGTGTTTCACAAACAACACCTTGTCTTACTAGAGTCCACACAAATGTGATCACATACAGGGTCCTGACAACTGGTGCTTTATAATCTGAGGGGTTGGCAGATCAGCGTGTGTCTTATACCGCTGTCCAGACACACTGCCTTCTTTTCCTTTTGCCTCTAAAGCCTTTTTTTCAGTACTTAACACCCTTGAATATCTGAGTTCCCTCTGCTGAATAGGTCTTTCACCCAAAGCAACATATCCTTAGCCACCAGCAAATAAGGGCACACTTAGTAGTCCTTACCTTTGTAACCTGAAATGGTCCCAAAATGGAGTCACAGATGACATTCAGTTTACCACTGGACAGACTTCTAAACACGTCCCAAGTGATGCTACAGTAATTCTTAAGAATGCCTTCTCTGTGTTTGTTCAAGACAACTGTGATTAATGTGAAAAGGCGCCCAGATTTTTCATCCTCTGGCCAGTGGGAAGTTGTTACCCAGAGCAACAACAAGGAGCAGAGTGCAGTGTTCGATGCGGTTATGGTCTGCAGCGGCCACCACATTCTCCCTAACATCCCACTGACGTCATTTCCAGGTGAGGAAGGAGGACAGCCCTGCCCTCTGGAGTGGGTTTGGATACTTTCTATGAAATTGGATGGATGGGCAGGACTCCCTACGAAAGAGCCTAATGTTAACATTGGGGAAGAGTTGAAAAAAGAAAAGATAATGGATGACATTACTTTCTTGTGAACTCTTGTGTCACATTGACTATCAATGGGCTACTGACTTACTGCAATATGTAATGGCTGTGTGCCCAGATTTTATTTTATTTTTTTTGCTTATTCAAAACTAGAAAAAGATTCTAATTAACACATAATTGCAATAGTAGTACTTCATCTGTTAAAGGAATAGTTTCTTAAAATATATTCTATGCATTTCATGGAGCAGTAAGACCAAATACAATGTCAATTAAAAATACGTTCCCCCAAAAACGAAAGAAGAAAGAGGGAGTATTATTATGTTCTTAGCATGGGGTTTTATGAACTACCTCAAATCTGTTAAATTGGCATGAGAACAGCTAAAAATTGTGTCAAAAGAGTTATCATGCATTTTCTGTAACCTTGAGAATCTATTAATACATTTGTTTGTAAAATCAATAGAAAACAATTTAAAGCCATGAAATATCTGTTGTATAATGCTGAAGAGTCACCGTGCAATTCAAAACAAGATAGCGGGTAGCACAGAGCACCTGGGTCTACTCCACCTGTCAGCATCATTTGTCACTAATAACGATGCAAGCTGCAGCCCCTGAAACCAGTGTTGATTCTGTGCTGCGTACATGGTGCCTGACATTTTGCAATGTGCTTTGTTCTTTGATTTTGTTATTGGCCTTGTGTTTGCAACTCTTTTGAAAGCAAAGTAAAACAGGTGATTGACCGCAGAAAAGCTGACAACAAAGTTTTGTTCAAATGAGCTTGACGTAATTGTTGACTCTGAAGTTCACTGCCTTCTTTCTACCCCCAAGGTATCGAGAAGTTCAAAGGCCAGTATTTCCATAGCCGCCAATACAAACACCCAGCTGGACTGGAAGGGAAACGTATTTTGGTGATTGGAATAGGAAACTCAGCATCGGACATTGCCGCTGAGCTGAGTAAGAAGGCTGCTCAGGTGTGGTGTTTTCTGCTTACCTGGGACTGTGGGAAAGAGGAAGGAACAAAGGCATGGCCAGGAACCCCAGCTGTAGAACCAAGGCTGCTTTACTCATTTATCAGTTAGTTGGCTGCCCCACGTGGTATCATAGTAAATCTGAAAATAAAGGAGATGGAATTTACCTCCCAGCTCTGCCACCAACCTGCCGGATAGCCTGCAATGAGTCATTTCTGTTCTTGGGCTAGTTTTAAAATGAAAAGTCTCAGTCAGACAATTTTCAGTACAGGAGATCTTACTTCTACCCAGGTGAGTTTAAAAACAAGATGCCGACCTATTCCTGTTTGGGAGAGTCACTTTACAAACCTGGTGTAAATTTGAAATAAATGTGAAATGTAGACGATTCTCTTTCTGAAATATTCCCCAAATAAACATTCAATTGACAGTTCAACTCCCAACAAAAAGTCATGGATATTTTAGCGCACCCTGAGACCTTCCAACCATTGTCATCCTCTTGGTGAATGACAAAGCAGATCAGGGGTCCCAATGTTGTCTCACCTCCGGGTGTGTGTATATGTCTGTGTATCAGCCTTTCAGATAATAAACAAAAATACTTTAAAAGGTAGATAATGCTGATAGAAATGATTGGGAAAAACAGCAAATAAATTACTTCTGGAAGGATGTATGTTAGACCAAATCTGAGTGACAGCCCTGAGTCCTCTCCGGAAGCATACCCTCTTACCAGCAGTTAAGCCAGGAGCCTTCTCACATTTACTGGCCTCCTCATTCCGGTGTCTGGCTGCCCAGACTCACCACGACCATGGCCACAAGCAGCAAAGCTTGATTGTACTCAGCTTACACGTGCAGAGCTTAAGATCCCCAGCAGCTTGCATGATAAACAGTGTGTTCCACGGTAGTTGAACCAATTCCTCAGATTCATCTGCTGGTCACTATCAGAGCAGGTCATGAACACTAGAAAGAGATTTTCAAGATCTGAGAAGTCTTCACTCTTTTTATTCTGAAAAGAAAAAAACACTTTGCACTTTCCAAAGCTTTAGGATCTTGATGTGGATAATAAGGGAAGAGGCAGTGACTGTGAACGTTTGGGGCAGAGCCTTCATCCTGCAAATAATCTCAAAACTTGGGAAATGAAGTATATTGCAATAGGGTGAAGGTAGCAGAATTAAGTGAAGACCTGTCCTGGACTCCAAAATGCTGTCAGAGTTATGATTTTCACTCAGAACAGGTGGTCCGAACGCTCCAAATCTTGGATTGCAGAAACCACTTGGCATAGGTCTTATCTTCAAAAAAAAAAACCTTCCTGAAGATGACATATTCAGTGTCAAGAAACTACCAGGTGATCTTGTGTGCCTTACAGCTCCTTAAACAACCTTTCATACGAAGAATATCTTCGGTGTTTATTAGGCTAATAATAAAAATTGACCATCGCAATCAACATTTTATACAAAGTAATTTTATCTTAACAACACCACATGTGCAACGTGTGAAGATGTATGAATTTTAAATTGGTATTAATCCAAATCTTTTTCATGTCACTGTGAACTTCTCAACCACTTGTTCTACAAATTCCAAATCATACAAATGCCACTAGTTACCCCATTTTGGTATAAATTAGGAGGTAGTTCACTTCGAGGTCAAACATCTCAACAGAACCACTGTGCTAGGCATTTGGTTTACCAATTCAAACGCCAGTGAGGATCCAGACTTACATAGTTCAGTCCATGGACTCAGCTTCTGAAGGCAACTTTCTGCTAATGCAGACCTTGGCAGGCGGAGTGATGGCTCAGGTAGCTGGGTTCCTCCTTCCCATGCGGGAGACCTTAACTGAGTTCTCTATCCCAACGGTAGCCTCCCCACCACATTCCAACCATTACAGGAGTGAAAAAAAGGAAGATCCCTCCCCACCTCTCTCTCTCTCTCTCTCTCTCTCTCTCTCTCTCTAAGAACTTTAGTGAGCTCTCAGGCCATATATGTCATGATGTCATGTATTCCCTACCCAGTTGATACCTCCCCAAGGGGTCAGCATTCTACTTGTTTCTTTTTTATTTCATTTTTATTTGAAAGGCAGAGTTACACACACACACACACACACACACACACACACACACACAGGTCATCCATCCACTGGAATACTTTCCAAATGGCTGCTCTGGCCTGATCTGTGTCTTCCACACGGTTACAGGGGTCCAAGAGCTTGGGCCATCTTCCGTTGCTTTCCCATATCTTAAGTAGGGAATTGGATGGATAGCAGAGCAGCCAGGACATAAACAGGCACTCATATGGTATGCTGGTGTCACAAGCAGGGGCTTAGCCTACTAAGCCATGGACCCCCAACCGTACCCTAATTTACACTGCATTCTTTTTTTTTTTTTTTTTTTTGCTCACCAGGTATATATTAGCACCAGGAAAGGTGCCTGGGTCATGAGCCGTATCTCGGAAGATGGCTATCCTTGGGACATGGTGTTCCACACTAGGTTTAGCTCAATGCTCCGAAATGTCCTGCCACGAATGGTTGTAAAATGGATGATGGAACAACAGATGAATCGGTGGTTCAACCATGAAAATTATGGTCTTGCACCTGAAAACAGGTAGCGTTTCTTTCCTGTAGTACACTCTGTTAGACCTCCCGTCTTCTGAAATAAAAAAGCTGTCACAGATACTAGTCAGAAAATGATCAACTCTTGGAACAAGCTCTGCAACTACTGACGGCAAGCCTAGACAGCAATGGAAAATATGTGTATTGGACTGAAAATCTGGTAGTTTTGATTAAATGAAAATTTGGGGAAAGAAAATCTAAATCATCTCGATTGGATGTAGATCGAGGAAGGTCAGTAAAAGACATCAGGAAAGTTCGATCATAGGAAGAAATAAGAATACTGTCCACCCGAATTGGCTGATGTTGATGATGAAATCTTGTAGATGAAAAGGATAATGCTACTTGTGGGTCGACCAGCAGGCATTTTTAAGTCAAAGTTTAAAAATCCATTCAGAAATTGTGGAACGGTTGTTTGTTGGTTTCAGCCCATAATGGTTTACTGATTAATTAACATCCATTATCTCCTCTCCTCTGCACCTTCTGGACCTGATAAGTAATTTTAGGACGTGTGTGTGTGTGTGTGTGTGTGTGTGTGTGTGTGAAGTCATTAGTAAGCAAAGTGGTCTGAGCCTGATTCTGTTTACAAACGTGGAAGTTGCCAACATGGTTATTGAGAACTACAACCAATGCCTTGTAGATGGCATAGATTCTGGAATTTCAATTCCCAGATTTGTTCCACATTCCCTTCTCTTCCAAAATACCCAAGCAGGTGAAGCAGAAATATTTTGCTCTCAAAGCAGAAATGGAATCTTCATAATTGCCCAGCATGGTAAAGGTTGCTTCAACAGGGTTGTGGTGGGAAACCCTTCTTTCAGATGGGTGTGGAGGGAAACACTCTTGTGCAATCTGATAAGTAAGGCATTGCAAACTCTGCATCGGATGAAGGCTGTTCCCCTTGGATGTTTTTCAGAACATATTAATTTCTCATTGTGTCAAAACAAATTATTGTGATCTCAAACTTATATATCACTGACATTGCAGGCACAATTATTATAGATGTTTATTTTTTCTTAAGTTGATAACAGACTCCTTCCCTTAAAAAAATAAATTAAAAAAAGAGAAATCTTTAGAACCTTTTGAGAAAAGACTTGAAACTTCTATTCTGAGATCTGCTACCTGTACCACATATTGTCTCCTTTTACAATAGAGCAAAACAGACTTTACTCCATCGCCCTAGTGAATGAATCAAGAACAGAGACCAAACCTAGCTTTATACATTGGTTTTCACACTAATCTCTTAAGGCATTTCAAAAGTAATAAAAATGTAACATTTTTTCCTCTTCTTTAACTTTATATTATAGGAATCAATAAAATAATTAAAGCTGTATGGCACAAAAAACCCATAGAACCACAAACTGGGTAACTACCACCAGAATACTCGTACGTTCGAAATTGGCATGTTGTCTAAACACTTAGGGAATTTCCTATCTTTAAAATATCTTTTACTTATACCACTGACATGTTTTCGTATATGAAGTATTTGTAGCATGAGTAGAAAGCCAGTTAAAAGTTAGTGCAGGCCAACTAGTTCAGTTGATTTTATTGATATTGAATAAATCCCTGAATTTGCAAAACCACCAAAAGCTGTCAAGAAAGTTGAAAACCCCTTTATAAAGAATGCTTCTGAGTGATTTTTTTCTGTGTCCCAGATACCTTTTGAAAGAACCTGTACTAAATGATGACCTTCCCAGTCGTATACTCTACGGAGCCATCCAGGTGAAACCAAGAGTGAAGGCACTGACAGAAAGCTCTGCCATCTTCGAGGATGACACAGTGGTGGAAGACATTGATGTCATCGTCTTTGCAACAGGATATACATTCGCCTTTCCTTTCCTAGAGGAGTCACTTGTTAAAATAAAGGAAAATATGGTCTCACTGTATAAATACATGTTCCCTCCACAACTGGAGAAGTCTACCCTTGCATGCATTGGTCTCATCCAGCCACTAGGTTCCATTTTTCCAACTGTGGAGCTTCAAGCCCGTTGGGCAACAAGAGTTTTTAAAGGTAAGTGAATGGGCCCAGGGATTGGTGGCTGAGGTTTCAAAGCTGCTGGAGCTTGCTTAATATTTTAGACAAGCAAGTTATAATGAGACTGTTGACCACACCGATACTGGTTACAAGAAGTGCTGAAGTGCTGGTGGAAAACTTGAAACATTACAAATATGGAAACATAGCAATAATAGGTGACTATTCTCGTCGCCTTTAAAATATCACATAGTTCAGAAAAATTCTGTTAGCATAAAGTTAAGTAATATTAACCTATGTTTGAGTCACAATGGATCAAGTTAAGGAGGAAAATGCTTGAGATACCAGTTTTTAAACGTATGGTGATTATAAATCCCTCAGGGTGATGTGTTTGATGTAATACATAAGACAACACTTAGGATGCCTGTATCCCATACTGTAGTGCCTGGGTTCAAATCCTGACTGCAATTCTAATTTCAGCTTCCTGCTGATGTGTAGGCAAGCAGACAGCAGGGAAGGCTCCAGTACTTAGGTCTCTGTCATTCACATGGGAAACCCGGATTGAATTCATGAGTCCTAGATTTGGTCTAGCCCATCACCCACTGTTACAGAGCATTTGAAAAAGTGAACAAGCAGATGAAAAATCTCCCCTTCCTCTTTCTGTCTCTCTCTCTTCCTCTCTCTCTCCCTCTTACTTTCTCTCAGATCCCTTACAAATACACATTTTTTTTTAAAGTGAAAATATAAATTCTGCAGAATAAATGTGCATCAATAGACTTAGGGCTTAGTTCACATGTAATTCCAAATGTTTAATACCTAGGCAGCTCAATTTACATCTTCACGTAAGTGCAAAAACCTTGAAAGGGTTGCTTCTGAACATATTTGCAGAGCCACATGAGAGACTTGATTGTGTTCCCACAAAATTTCGTTCAATTCCTAATACTGAACTTAGACCAGCAGGGCAGGAGGGAATGCGTGCAGTTCATTTCAATATAACATGTCAAGTGTGTTGATAGAGGATTGCATGGGTCCTATGGAAAGGGAATTGGTGTTTGGCAGGAAAATATAAGGGAAGGACACAAGATCAAGGGAAATTTCCCAGATGCCTGGCAGAAAAGGAATTGGCAGAGCAAAAGCACAAAGGTGTCACGCACAGGGAGAATTGGCGTTCCTAGTGTGTGATGTCCAGGGCGGGAAGAATGAGAGTAATCCTGAGGCTGACTCGGCCAGAACAAGACAACTGGGTAAGCTGTGCTCAATTTGGATTATCAACATGTCAATCAGTTCTTCTTTAGCATGCCATTTACTCTGGCATGATGACCTGGGATTTGAGAAAGCTCTTCAGCTGCAGGGAAAAAGCATTGTGAACTATAGAGAGACTCTATCAGATGTACACTTTACATGATTTAATTGAACAATCATGTGGAATACAGACTTGAAAGGGAGGCTGACACAAGGGAGAAGGTGAATTCAATACCCTATACTAAATTCTGATATACCTGAACCTGGGAAGCTCAACAAAGTGAAAATAAAAATATAAATGTCAGAAATAGTTACGAATATGCTGACTAGTTCAATGTGAGAAAAAGAGGCAGAGGGAGAGGAGTCGAGGATGCTTTGATGGAGCACGGTGTAGTGACTGCAAGAGGGTATACAGAGAAGATGCAAGGCTGGACTAGAAAGCTTCAACGAGGAGCTCAGTTTTGGGCTATGTGGATCTAAGCTACCTCAAGACGAGTCACAGGTGGGGGCTTCACTGTTTCTCAACACATCAAAAACACCAGGACACTTGTAAACAGGAGATGAAATCACAAACTCACAATACAATCTCCTGCATCAACTTACTTTTTCTATGACCCCTGCACTTCTGTAGTCAATTTCACATTAGCACTCCTTTGACTAGTCTCCCTAATTTTAGGTTTATTCCCGCTTGAGCCCATTTCCTTAAATCCATCAGCCAGAGATATTTCTTTAAAAGCCAAGTATGAACTTGTGCCTTGGTATAGGGAATTCCCATAGCTTCTGTTTACCTTTAGGAAATAACCCACATCACTTGGCACGGTCTCTCTTATCTTCAAACACAGAGGCACCGAGTCACCTTGTCCGAGTCTTCTCTGTCTCTTCATGTCTTAGTTCCTGCTTCAGGCTGTGTTCTACAGGTAGCTTCAGCTAGAACTTTGTAGGAATGGCACCCTGGTGCTCAGTGGCACAGCAGCCCTGACTGGCAAGATAACTTTAAATAGAGTGTAATTTAAAGGACAAGCTACTAGATTAAGCCAATGATCATAAATCAAACTTGCTACTTTAAACTAAGCTTTTCTTTTCTAGGCTTATGCACCTTGCCTCCAGAGGGGACAATGATGGCAGACATTATCCAGAGAACTGAAAAGAGGATTGACTTGTAAGCATGCCTTTCAAAAATACTTTACATAGTAAATAAAACAGTGTTGCTCAAGGCACAGTGATCTAACTACCTACAAGAATGCTTAGCTAATCGATAAAATGCAAGTGCATTTTCGTATTCTTCTAGGCAATTCTTGTTCTTGTTTAAGAACAAACCACTTACATACAGGAACTGTACTAAATCAGAACATTTCCCCCTTGCTTCATTTGGTTTTATATGATGACTATCGAGTCACACAGGCTCTGGTTACGGAGAAGATGGGACAGGGATATCTAATTCATCTAATGTTCACTGAGCGTCTACTACATGACTGCCAGTCCCCCGGGAACTTTGAAGATTCAGCAAATAAATATTAATCATGTGCTCGGGCAAGACTCCAAGCTTGGCCTTCACACGTGTTACCTCAGGAATCTTGGCAGTAATGTTGGCTAGCAAATACTTGCTTGGAGAAGTACAGTTACCTAATAACTCCAAGTCCTCTATTATCAATCTGACCACATTCCTAGAGCCTCCTTGAGGTCATGGCTGTTTATTTTACATCCTGCTCGCAGAGACAGAGAGCTCCGAATAAGATCAACTCACACTTTGCACGAGTGAGGTATCCAAAACTCACTCAGTCTCCAAACTCTAATATTCTCCTTTAACTTAGAACATTTTTTATAACTTTCCTTTTTCTTCCTTCATTAAGGTTTGGAGAAAGCCAGAGCCAGAAACTGCAGACCAATTATGTCGACTACTTGGACGAACTGGCTTTAGAGATTGGGGCAAAGCCAGACATACTCTCTTTCCTGTTTAAAGATCCTAAACTGGCTATGAAACTCTATTTTGGACCCTGTAATTCCTACCAGTATCGCCTGGTTGGGCCTGGGCAATGGGAAGGAGCCAGGCGTGCCATCTTCACCCAGAAGCAAAGGATACTGAAACCTTTAAAGACACGGTCTCTGAAAGCTTCATCTAAGTTCCAAGTTTCCTTTTTGTTGAAATTCCTCGGCCTTTTTACTCTTCTTCTGGCCTTTTTGTTCCAACTTCAGTGGTTCTAATCTGTCCACAAAACACCTTTGGCATTTTATCTTATCAATCGATACCTCTTTTGAAAACAAAGATTAAAAGAAAAAAAAATAGTAACTCTACATCCTAAATTTTGGAATTGATAGAACAAATGAAGCAATAATTATGGAGAATTAGCAAAACCAAGTCTTCACATTAAATCAAAATTACACCATGTAGTGTTTTTTTTTTTTTCTTAGTCCATATGGGTAGAATGCCAGGCCTTACATGCAAAATGTATTTGGAAAACATAGCGGAATTACACAGATTAAAAAGAAAATCCTGTGGTTTAAGCTATTGCACAACTTAAATCATGATTAGTGTTTAACTCTGGCCCAGTGTTCGCGATGGTCTCAACACCTGCAGGATATTTAACTCTGGCCCAGTGTTCCCGATGGTCTCAACACCTACAGTATATTTTGTAACTGAGTTCTCAGTTGTGAATTCATACCACATTTGTTTGGTGAGAGATCACTTAAGAAAAATGAGAGGACAGATTTGGAAAGCAGTGGCAATGTTCACACAGGTTTAGATCCCCATACTGAAAGCTGAATAAATAGCCACATTTCTTACATTTTACAGAAGCAATGCTAGAAAAGTAAATGCAATATGCCATAAAAGCTAATGGATACATATATTTAGTGCTTGATATAGACCAGACGTAATGCTAATGTGCATGTAATATGTGTCTATCACAATTCTATGAAAGGAGTACAGATATTTTGCCTATTTGTATAATAATGAAACTGAGATTCAGTGCAATTGGATACCATGTCTAAGACCATTCAGCTGGTCTTGCAATGGAGTTGGGATGGAGACCCAGGTCTCTGGGATTCTAGAATTGAAGATCATAACATTTTACTGTAACACACACACACACATACAATGGCCTGCTTTTGATAAAGTACTTATCAATTATATATAACCATACACATGTTACTTTTGAAGCTTTATACAGAAAAGAAAAAAGCATTCTCCTTGCAAATATAATCTGATTTTATTTGTCATTTTAGGCTTACTGTTCTACTAGACCTAAAATGTATAGGAAGGAATTTACACTGAAATACAGCTGTACAATAACATCCAAGATAGCCTTTGCTATTTTGGAAAGAAAAAAACTAAGGAAGAAAATCTCCTGAACAAAAGAAAGGCTCTGTAACAACTGAACCTTAACTCTAGCTCTAGCCACATCAGCAACCGGGGCACATGTAGTCTCTGTCATCGGAGAAGCAGAAGTACACCGTTCGGGAGACACAAATCTTTTCTTGGAATCAAGATTTAAACACTACACAAGCAACTCACCATCAACAGCATTGAGCAATCCTAGCTGATAAATATCTGGTCATGGAACATTGATTGCAGCTGCTCTTTGCATGAACTGTGTTTTGAGAGATAAGCTAGAGTCCAGAGCAAGACCTTCAAAGAGAGAGAGAGAGCAAAGGTTGGAAATGCTACGGGCTTTGAGGGCACAGTTCGGGGTTTTGGCCTAGATTTCTCCCTCAAGGACCTTAAACAATGTACTGGCAATCTGTCAACGGAAGCGTGTTTTCTAAGTCTACTGCAATTATACCAATAGGATTACAAATCACATGACATCTTAATAAGCATGATATTTTGATTGCTCTTATAATTTCCTATACTTGATCTTAGCCAAAAGGCCAAGAAGCGATGTTCTTGTAAATTCCTTTTTAAAAAAATCACAAGTGATCAATAAACTTATTTTTTGATTAAAAGGCGATTACTGATTATTGACATTTTTCTTTTTTTTTTTATTGTTAATAACATTGTACTATGTGATACAGTTTTATAGGTGCTTGGATTTCCCGCACTCCTCCCACAACCCTCCCCCCATGGGACATAACCACAGTTCAAGTTCAGTTGAGATTCCTTCATTGCAAGCTCCCCATGGCCTGGTGATGGGTCAGTAATTGCATGAGGATGACTCCAGAGACTAGATTCCACTTAATCCAAGTCAGATGCCAAATTTAGGTTACGCATGCAAAATTATGGTTTGTGTGTGTGTGTGTGTGTGACACAGAGAGAGAGAGAGAGAGAATTAGTAGAGAGCATGTAAAAGAAAGCTGCGAAATCATAAGGTCACAGGGTAAATTTGATTGTCAATGGAGAAAGCGAACAAATGGAAGACAGAAATACTTTAGACTTCTTTGTGATCTAAGAAGCGTCAGCAGTCACAAGGGAATCCTCAGGTCATCAAAGGGTCTTTGTGCTCTTTCCAAACAAACAACTATTAAGAACTGGCTACTTTATCGTTGTGGTTGATACATGTATTTTAATATTGTTCTTAGATATCCATCTGTTTATGCTATGTGTTCTGGGAGCGAGATTTTGATTATAACAAATAAAAAAGTTTATCTATTAGATTTCCATGTTCTCTGAGTCACCAACTAGTATAAAGCTATCAATCGCATAGTAGCATCAACAACCCCTGTGAATTATTAAAAATATCCAGAGAGCTCGATTCTCTTGGGAACCAAAGTAAAATATTTTAATTCCATTTTTCCATCGATGTGTTAAAGCTCCTTTAAATGGGTTTTCTAAGGGAGTACAGCTGACTTTTGCTGACAAGATAATCTGACTTCCAAATCTGAATGATGGCACACAGAATATTCAAGCCTACATTGAACAACGCAAACTTTGGTAGACAGGGTGATAAAACAATTAAGAATTTATTGTGTACTCTCTCTGTATTTTCCAGCATCCATCTTTATATCCAAGATGAAATACCATGTTAATTGGTTTTCTTCTATCTCCTTAAACCCGACATAGAAATTATCTCCAGCATCTTTTTAAAATAATGAACTATACATTGTCAAAGAAATCTCAAAAATTACTTTAGTATGTTTGCATATAGTAAAATAAAGTTATGCTAATGGCTACATTAACAGGCATTATATTAGATGTTAAGAACAGGAATGTGGGGGGAAAGGTGTCTTCCCAAGGAGAGATTTTTAAGAATCCTGGTTAGGGCAGAATTGAGGTTTTCAGTAGAAAAGTAAGAACGTTTTAAAATTTATTTAATAGAAGAAAGAAAATGAGAAGCAAAGGAAGAATGAAGTTAATGAAATAAGATGTTGAGTAGATTGCAATGTGACGTGTCCCCATGGCCCTTCAAATATTCAGTTAATATACTCAGTGAAAAAAGAAATAATGGCGGTCAGCCACAGTGTGGAAGAGAAAGAATGCCAAGAGTGACTGCTATGGGCATGCGCACTCAAAACCCAACGCAGACATGGAGAGAGCCATGAAAGGGTCAGCTGAGCCGGATTAGTGCTGTGATTCAACAGGCTGGTGCTCTGCTTTCAAGCACTTTCGTCCGAATGGGCTCTGGTTCACGTCCCAGCTGCTCAACTTCCTATCTAGATCCCTGCTAAGGGCCTGGGAAACCAGCTGGATTTGCCTCAAGTCTTTGACCCCCTTCACCCATGTGGGAGTTCCTGGATTGTGGCTTCTGAATGGCTGAGATCCAGCCATTGTGTTCATCTGGGGAGTGAATCAGTGGATGGAAGATATTTCTATCTCTCCTTCTTTCTGTGAATCTGCCTTTGTAATGAAAATCAAGATATCTTTCAAAGAAAAGTCAGCAGAAGACACAGGGAGATCTGTCACCCTGGTAAGACCCCAGCTGCTCCGATCGACATATATTGCAAATATGTAAATATGTTTTCATATTGCCTAAGCCTTACCCTGGGGTTGTATCTCAGTATAGAGTCTCTACTCATACAAAACTCTTAGCGCCATAGAAAAATAGACATACACTCTCAAGCAAGGATGTATGAATGGATACCGGTCATTCATTATCCGAATGTATGTACAGACTATTCACATAGGTTAGCAGTTGTGCTATGTCCAGGGAGAACAAGATGAACAAGCCAAAAAATAAAGCAAATTTTTGAAGTGTGGCTTGATGTGTTTTAGCATTTACAGAAACCCCCATAAATATTACCTGTCTTTATCCCCAACACAACCTTGTATTAGACAAAGCAAGGATAACCATTCCACTCTGCAGATAACAACATGCTCCTTACTGTACTTGCTGAATACAGCGTCACATCATTACAAGCTCTGTTAACAGACACAGGACGAAGCATTAGTAAAACGGTAGTTGCTACCTGATAGTCTTTCCCACAAAATCCTCATCAAGCTCCAAAGATAGTTAAAAGTTTTCTAAGAGAAACAGCCTGCCATTTGTTCCAGTCTTCGGATAGTGGAGCTGTGAGTCGTGGCTCACCACTGCTGACAGATATAAACATTAACACAATAATCGGCCTTGAGTTAGTCTCGGTGCTGCCTCCCCTCTTCTTTGAGTGATTTCCTTTGGCACAAGTGTCTCACAAAAAGACAAAGATCAACCTCGGCTTGTAAGGGAATTGGGAAAACTACCTCTTTAGCAAGACGTGCATTTTTTAAAAGCGTTGAAGAGCGAATTGCTTGCAGTGATGTGTGAAAGTTAACAACCTCTTGACACTTTCCGAGAATGGTGTGGTTCAAGGAATTAGGGAATTCTGTTTAACTTTGTTTTGTCTTTCCAAAGAGAAAGAGAAAAAAATGCACTCAATAGATCCAGTTCATAACTGGGTCTGGAGCTATGTTCCCGGTCAACCCTAAAAGTCTATGATTATAAATAAGAACCCAAGCAGGGAAAACAGGAAGGGAAGACAGAGTTGTAAATGTGCTGCAGAAATGCAATCGGAGTGTTAGAGGCCTAACGCTCACACCTCATTCAGAGAGGGTAGCTGGGAAGCATACTGAGTTCCCAATGTAACAAAATGAACCTCATTTCTGTGTACATGTCCACTGAAGACTGGCTGTGCTCACCACCGCCAGTCAAGTATCCAAGCTAACTGAACAGATATTTTGAGGTTGCTGGTTTCCCCAGTGATGGAAAATGGATCTTGAACCTGCAATTTAGTATTCTGGCCCCAAAAGACACAATGTTTGGCTCACAGTTCATTGAGCAGCGTGGCTGCACTTTCCCAACCGTCCACTAGGGGACTAAGAAGTATATGCCCGCAAACTGCAGGAGACAGAAAACCTTTCCTAAACAGCATTACTGTGGAAGTCCAGATCCATTTTGTAAGGGAACTAAAGCACTTTCTACCTGTTGTGGTCCAAGTCATAACAACAGTGAGCTCCCAAAGCAGCCAAAAGTGGAAG